GGCCCTGGCCCCCGAGTGTCCCCCAGGCCCCGTCCCGCCCTGGTCCCTCCCGCACTCAGAGCTGGAGCGCCTGCCGCCCCCAATAGCCCCACCTTCTCGACCCTGTGTCTTTGCTCGTCTTATGTTGCCACTCACAGCGCCATCATTCACAACAGAATTTGCATAATTATTGATGGCATTTACATGATTACATATGCAATTCGTAAGTACTTCATTAAGGGCTTTTGGCCAATTCTGGAAAACATGTTTCTTTTGTACATTTCTGCTTTGGGGAGAGTGCTCTGCTGTGCTTCTCAGGACACGAATCTGTTGGCCATGTTGTCCTTCAATGACCCACTGTCAGCGGCAGAGCGCGGACAGCAGCTCCTGAATGAATACGCGTCTAGTGGGGCTCCTGCCGGCACTGACAGGCAGCGGAGACCGTGAGCGGGCCGAAGGGACCGTGCGGAGGGAGGGGTGTGAGGCCCTGGGGTGTGCTATGCCCGGGCTTTGCTTGGAGAGGGGCTGGAAGGCGGAGTTTGAGGAGAAACGGCCTTGTGTTTGGGCCCCTGCCGTCTAACTGGTGCGTGAGGACGCGTGGAAGGTGGGCCTCTGGGTCCCGTGGGAACATGGGCTTCCTCCTGGGCTCCCTGGGCGTCGGCTACATCGTGGACAGGCACGCAAAGGCCCACCGCCTGCGCGGAGCGCCGGCGCCTCGAGGAGCATGGCTTTCGGGGACGGTGACAGAAGAGATGGCCAGTGGGAAGCGCTTGCAGAAGTGGACAGAGACGAGGTGGCGGCCAGGGCTTTGCATGCCTGTGGGAGCGAGGCGGAGAAAGGTGGGGTTCAGGCTGGATTCCAGAGGTCAGACTGCATGCGGGGTGCATAGATGGGGCTGGGAGAAGGGGGCACAAGGCTTATGCCTCCAGCAAATGGGGGGCGGGCCCTTGTTTGAGAAGGGACCGCGTGGGTAGGAACTGACCTTGTGGCAGCTCTTCGGGGAGAAGGGGGGGCACCATCAGGAGCTCTGTGCCGGCAGTGCTAAGGCTGAGAGGTGTTAAGAGCAGCCTGTGAGCCCTGGGCGGGCGGCCCCGTTGGGTGGAGCATCTCCCTGTGCACTGATTCCCGGTCAGGGCACATCCCCAGGTTGTGGGTTCGATCCCCAGTTGGGGCGCGTACAGGACGCAACCAATCGATGTTTCTCTCTCACATCAATGTTTCTCTCTCTCTCTCTCCCCCCCTTTCTCTATAAAAAATCAATAAAAAGCCCCCACATGTTCTCAGGTGAGGATTAAAGAAATTACAAAACAACAACAGACAAGAGTATCCTGTGAGAGAGAAGGGAGGTCAGGCAGGCGGTTGGATGTCCGGGTTGTGCTTAGAAGAGAGCTTTGGGCTGGAGTTGTATTTTGGGACGTGGCCCCAGTCACTGGTAGTTAAAGCTGTAAACCATTCATGCTGGAGATAGGCCAGGAGAGGGCAGAGAGAGGACACGTGGAGGTCGGAGGGAGGGGCTGCTGGTGAAGGAAGTTTAGGAGACATGGCAGCAGACGGAAGGACAACTGCCTACCGGGCTAGTGTGATGCTACGGAAAAGGAGAGCAGACTGGCCCGAGGAGGAGCCGTCAGATCTGTGGACACAGCCACCGCGAGTCCCCAGGGCCAGGACGGGGTGAGCGGGAGGCGAAGGGAAGTGAGAGACGAGGAGGTGGCGTTCATGTGTGTGGACCACTCTGTCCAGCGAGCTGGGCGTGGAGCACAGCTGGGGAGGGGGGAGCACCAGAGAGGGGGCAGGTCCAGGGCGAGATGACGTCACGTGGGGGGAGCGAGGGCCTGGGCGCAGGCAGGGGCTGGGCCCGCGTGCAGGGTGGAGGGGTCTTTGGTGGGTGACACAGGGGGGAAGGGGGAGGAGGTGGACGCCAGTGCCCTGAGGTCTGAACGTTCTGGGGTGAGAGGATGCGGCTTCTGCCCGAGAAGTTTCTCTATTAGTGAAGGAGGAGGAAGGCCACTGGCTGGTGAGGGTGGCACGGGGAAGGGATGGGAAACGAGGAGTCTAGGAAGGAGGAAGGCGGGGGACAAGCCGAGAACCTGCAAGAGGGTGCAGGCCGGCTGAGGGGTCCCCCGAGTGCACGGATTTCATAGATTAATAATAGTACCTGTCTCATAGCCCTGTCGGGAGGATGAATGAGATGATAATATGTGTAAAAGGCTTAGATACAGGGAATGCTGGTTGTTATTTTAATGTGCAATTCATGCGTCCTGCCAGAAGGTGGCAGCCCTGCCCATTTGGGAACTTGGAAAATCCAGGTTGTACATTCCTTTCTCTGGAATTAAGCTCTTCATCGGGAATAGGTGGCTTGCCCCATTTGCCTGGCTAACGGGCCTGCAGGGGGCGCCCCGCTTGCCTAACTTCCTTCTTTCTCTCTGGACACGTCTGTCCAGGACGGGAGCAGACGCATCCCTGTACTTGTCGGGGCCCAGCGGGCGTATCCCGGAGGGGCCTCGCCCACAGGCACTGGCCCGCGGGGAGAAGACAGGAACGTCTCAGCAGCTGAGCCTCTCCTCACAGTGCAAACCCCAAAACTGCTGCCAATGCTCCGAGCCCCAAGTTCCGTCCTTTTCTAAAAGCGACACACGGGCCCTAACCGGTTTGGCTCAGTGGATAGAGCGTCGGCCTGCAGACTGAAAGGTCCCAGGTTCGATTCCGGTCAAGGGCATGTACCTTGGTTGCGGGCACATCCCCAGTAGGGGGTGTGCAGGAGGCAGCTGATCGATGTTTCTCTCTCATCGATGTTGCTAACTCTCTATCCCTCTCCCTTCCTCTCTGTAAAAAATCAATAAAATAAAAAATAAAAGCGACACACAGGAGTGTCTGGATTTCCCCCTAGAATGACTCCGTGGTCCCGTCTGTGTGCCACGTCCGTCACGTGGCTCTTCTGGTCTCGAACACGGATGGGGGCCGGCGGGCCCGGGTGGAGAGAGTGAGGGGCCGGGGCTCTTGGAGGGCGGAGGGCAGGG